ACCCCAACGCGGTCGAGGCCAAGGGCACGTATTGGGGCGCGTTAGGAAGCACCTTGTACACAGGGTGTAGGGAATTTTTTTCGAAAACCTCTCATAGGCGTGGATTTCAACACTTTTTTGCACCAAAATAAATTCATCTTTCAAAAAATGGTGGTTTTTTTTTTTCATCTACTTGAAAGGCACCGTGGCAGAGAGAGAGAGAGAGAGAGAGAGCGCGATCGTCCATCCGCTGGGTCACTCCCCCGATGCCCACAGCAGCCCGGGCTGGGCCAGGCCAGGAGCCCGGAGCTCCACCAGGGTCTCCCACGTCGGGGGCGGGGGCCCGAGGGTCTGAGCCGTCACTGCTGCCTCCCTGGGTGCGCATGCGCAGGGAGCCGGCTCAGCAGCGGTGGGGCCAGGACTTAAACCGGTGCTCCCAGCAGAGGCCCCTAAATGCATCGTGGAATCCTGTTCGCAGGTGCCATGCCGACCACCACCCGCGAGCCAGGCACAGGCGAAAGGGAACGCAGCAGAGACTTAAGCCAGGCCGGCGCCAGGGCCCCTGCGCTGTGCTGAGGCCGAGCCGCCCCCGCGGACCCCCGAGCGTGGCCCCGGGTTAGGCCTCACCCCACTTGCCACCTGCCACTCCAGAATCCCACATGCAGTCCCGGCTGCTCGGCTTCCGCACGGCTCACCGCCCATGCACCTGGGAGGCAGTGGGCAGTGCTGGGGCCCTGCACCTTGTGCGAGACCCGGATGGAGCCCCTGGCTCCTGGCTTCGGATGGGCTCAGCTCTGGCCGTTGTGGCCATCTGGGGAGTGACCCAGTGGATGGAAGACTCTCTCTCTCTCTCTCTCTCTCTCTCTCTCTCTCTCTCTCTCCTGCCTCTCTGTAACTCTGCCTTGCAAATAAATAAAACTTTAAAAAAAAAATGCAGGCCCCTGGTGCAGGTCGGGAAGCTGGCTCCAGCCCCCAGCCCGACTTCCCCCCAACCCCCACCCCTGGCCCTGATGGGATCCGGGCAGCCCCAGCAGCAGGTGGCGGCCCCCAGCCCCAGGAGGGGGCAGCTGGGACCCTCTGGGGAGCCAGGGAGAAGGAGCCCCCAGAATTAGTGAAGTGGAAAACCCGCGGACCAGGGACCGAGGCTGGGGAAGGGATCCGGACTTGGGGGGGCCTGGGGCGGGCTCTGGACCCGCGGCGCCGGGGCCCCAGGGCCAGGCGCGGACGCCCCGCCCCAGGCAAGGACTCGAGGGAAGGGTCCCTCAGCCTGCGCGGTGCCCGCGCCCCTTGCCCTTCCCCACTTACCCGGGATCCCGGACGGCCCCGGGGCCGCTCGCGTCCTCGGCCTGTCCTCGCTGGGGTCCGGAAGGCCTGGCGGCGGGGCCGCGCGCTGGGCGGCGGGAGCGCGGTGCCGCCTCTTCCGTGTCGCGCCGGGCACCGTGGACGGGGCGGGTGAGGTCACCGCTTCCCCAACCCTGCCCAGCCCGCCAGGGAAAGTCCCCGAGCAGCCCCGCCCGGGGGCCCCTCGGCAGGCAGGGCCTGGTTGCAAGTCTGAGCACCTCCTGCATGCTGGGGCTGGGAGCGGGAGCTACAGCAGGAGACCAGGGGCGCAAACCTGGGAGCGGGGGCCGGGGGGGGGGGGGACCTGCAACTTTAAAGCAAGGTCTCCAAGGGGAGGGGGCTGCCTGTGGGGTCGGGGTCCGGGTCCGGGGGACGACGGGGGTGCGAAAGTGAGGGCCGCCCACCCTGGAGGGCTTTGGGGGCGCAGGAGCACGGTGGTTCCCAACTCCCCGGGGGCCCTCACTCACTTGCTTCCCGGGAAGCCCCGGACCCAGGGTGTCCCGGTCCTGGGGTCAGCCCGAGTTGTATGGAGCTGGGAGGATGTTTAAGATGTCTCTTAAAACCAGAAGTCAAACATGAATTCCATATGTATATATATTATATAATTCCATTTATTCCTGAGAAGTCATACAGTATAATTTTGAATTTGTAAAAAATTTATTTGAAAGGCAGAGTTACAGAGAGAGAGAGAGAGAGAGGTCCTCCAGCCACTGGTTCACTCCCCAAATGGTTGCAACCGTCGGAGCTGCGCTGATCTGAAGCCAGGAGCCAGGCGCTCCATCCGGGTCTCCCACGCGGCCGCAGGGGTCCAGGCACTTGGGCCATCGTCCACTGCTTTCCCAGGCCACAGCAGGGAGCTGGATGGGAAGTGGAGCAGCCAGGACTGGAACTGGCGCCCATGTGGGATGCTGGCGCTTCAGACAGTGGCTTTATCCGCTTCGCCACAGTGCTGCCCCCCCACCAACTTTTTTTTTTTTAATTAATTTATTTTTTTAAGGAGGAAGGGGTCAGGAAAGTTAATGACCTTGGACCCCTCTGTCGGCCGGAAGACGTCCGGGGCCCCACTGCATCTCCTCTGCAAGTGCATGAAACCCAGTGCGGGGAGGCCGGGACGTCCAGCTTGTCCAGTTTGTTCAGATGGCCGGAGGGGGGTGGCTCCTGGGGACCTGCTGTCTGACTGGGGAACACAACGGGGAAGGCCTCGCAGGTGTGGGAAGGGGGAGCTGGGGCGTGGAGGGACCCCGAGGCCGGCGGGCTCAGCGAGAGAGGGACACAGCCTGCAGGATCTGCTCCCAGGAGGTCCCCAGAGACAGGAAGTGGGGGGGTGGGGAGGGAGCACTTCCTGGGGACGGAGCTTCCGTGTGGGCAGGGGAGAAGGTTCTGGAAGGAGGGCGATGAGGGCGTAACTGTAAATTTTGTGTTTTGTGTTTTTTTTTTAAATGACAATTTAAACAAGCTTGTAAGTACCTACGAGACAATCACTTGTCAAACACCTTGGAGGGGCCGGCGCTGTGGCCTGGTGGGCTGAGCATCCGCCTGCAGTGCCGGGATCCCATGTGGGCGCCGGTTCAAGTCCCGGCTGCTCCTCTTCCGGTCCAGCTCTCTGCTGTGGCCTGGGAGAGCAGTGGACGATGACCCAAGTCCTTGAGCCCCTGCACCCGCGTGGGAGACCCGGGTGGAGCTCCTGGGTTTGGCCTGCCATCTCCAACTCGAGGGAGCCCTGGGCTCAGGCCAGTTTGGTGGGTGCCCATTTTACAGGTAGGAAAACTGAGGGGCAAAGAAACAGCTGGGCAGCCAGGGAGCAGCCCCCACTCAGTGAACGAGGCGCAGCGTTCCAGCTGAGCTCCGAGGTGACCTCCACACCAGGGAGCTGTCCACAGAGGGGCCCTCAGATACCTCGCAGGAAAAAATGAGTTTATTTGGGGGCAAATCAATTTTGAAATCCGTGTTTGAGAGTGAGAGTCAGAGAGAGAGAGAGAGAGAGAGAGAGAGAGAGAGAGAGAGAGAGAAGGGCAAAGACTGCGAAAGGGCTCGGATCTGCTGCTTCACTCCCCACATGCCAGCCACAGCCAGGGCTGGGCCAGGAGCCGGGAGCTCCATCCGGGGCTCCCACGTGGGTGCAGGGGCCCAAGGACCTGAGCCGTCCCCGCCGTCTCCCACAGTGCCCATCAGCGGGGAATGTCAGGGCCAGAGCCGGGACTCGAACCCAGGCTCTCTGGGTAGGCACGGGCGTCTTCATTGCCAGGCTAAGCACCTGCCCTGCATCTCACTGGGGGAGGGGCAGTGACTGCCATCTGCCAGCATCTGACTGCAACCACTGGTAAGGTCTGTAGACGAACACGTCTGTGTTTCAATAAAACTTTATTTACAAACTCAAGCAGTGGGCCGGACACGGCCCCCGGACCGTCTTTAGCCTGACGCCGTCCCCGGCACATCTTGGGGCAGCACCAGTGGCCCGGGGCCGTCCACGGCTCAGTGTGCTAAGCACAGCTGTCGCCTCCTCCCGTCGCTGGCTGTCCCAGTCCCTTCCACTGCTCCCCTCCACGCCGAAGGGCTGCAGGCTCTTGGAGCGCCGCCCCGTGCCTCAGTTTCCCTCCCTACCCACCTGGGGGTGAAGACGGCACCAGTCCAAGGGGCTCTGGGTGGCTTCACCCAGAGGTGTTTCCTGGGGTGGCCACAGAGAAGGGGAAGTTGGAGGACGTCTCCCAGGCACGGGGGGGCGGGGGGGGGGTGGTCCGCTCTGGGTCTTGCTAAGCGCTGCCAGGCTGTTCCCCAAACGCAGCCCCGGCTCCACGGCCCTGGAAGGGAACGGGAAGGGTCGCTTCCTCACTGCCAACTGCCCGCCACTTTCTCTTTCCTCGTCTGCGGCCGGAGGTGGAATCCACAAACCTCCACTCCCAGAGGGGTTGGCAGAGACCAGTGCTGGACTCATGGGTAATGCCGGCGGCCGGGGGGGGGGGGGGGGACTGGTGCTGGGCTCACGGGTGACCCCGGCGGCCCACGATGTCGTCGGAACTATCCAGCTCTGGCTCCTGACCAATGCGGGTCTGGGGCAGGGGGGCGCGGGGCAGGCGGCAGGTGCTCAGCCAAGCGAGCCCTGGGTTGGGTTCCCAGCACCTGGGAGTGGCCTGGCCCAGTTCTGGTCGCTGAGGGCCTCTGGGGAGTGCCCCAGCGGCTGGGCGCCCTTACCGGGAAGGCTGACGGAGCCCCACCCTGTGAACCCTGTGACCGCGAGGGAGGGGCCCCCACCTGGAACTTGAACCTTCAACTTCCAGAACCACAAACAGGGTAATGCTGTGTTTATCAGTCCCGGTCTAAGGTATTTAAAACAATTTTTACTTGAAAGGCAGAGCGACCAAGAGGGAGAGATGGAAACACATAGAGAGGTCTTCCATCCGCTGGGTCACCCCCGCAATGGCCGCAGTAGCCAGGGCTGGGCTAGGACAAAGCCAGGAGCCAGGAGCTCCACCCGGGGCTCCCACGAGGGTGCCGGCGCCCAGGTCCTTCTGCCATCACTGCCGCCTCCCCGGGGCAGAGGCCGGGACTGGACCTCTGGTAGGGCCGCCAGTGTGGCAGCGGCTTCACCGGCTGTGCCGCTATCCCAGCCCCTCTAGGGTGCGTTGTTATGGCAACATGGACACACACGCACGTGCGCGCGCACACACACACACAGCCTGTGCTCAGCTGCAGGTGAGATTTATTAAGGCAAAGGTGACCAGCGGGGTGGTGACCTGGGTTGGCCAGCAGGGCCCGCAGCCTCACGTCCACCCCGTCCCTGGGAGGCCGCTTCTCCCACCGGGAGCCTGGGTACATTGGCTAAAGGCCGGTCTCTGCGGGCCTTGATGAAGGAAAAGCAGCGGGATCGGACAATGAGAGCCCTGAAGGAACGTTCTAGAACGTTCTAGAAACGTCTTTCGGGTGAGGCTCAGCACAAGCCCCTGGCCGGGGACCCCCAGGTCACTGCCGGAGCCACCGGGACGGGGGGACGGAGCTTCACCTCTGCGTTCACCCTACGCCTTCTCTTCTGGGGCTTTCTCCACGATTCCCGGGGCGAAAGGTCCCACGAGCCACGTGACGGGGCTGTTGTGGGCCACGTACTCGATCATGTGGTCCAGGGCCTCGCGGGCCTTGGCCACACGCTCGCGGCTCTGGGTCAGGACGCTGCCGGACAGGTCCTGGAAGGAGTGGACGGCGGCGAAGGTGGCCTGCAGGTCCTCCACCTGGCGGCGGGCCAGCTGCACCTGCTCCTCCACCTGGCTGGGCAGCCCCTGGATGCTGGCCGCCAGGGAGGCACAGGCGCACTGCAGCTGCTGGGTGACACCCCGGAACATGCTCAACGCCCGCGACTCCACCTGCTGGGGGGGAGGGGCGAGGTCAGGGCCGAGCGCACGGCCAGCGGGGCTTCGGCACTGGGGGTCAACCGGGCAAGAGCCGCGCCAGCGGCAGAGCCCTGAGGCTGGCTCCGGAGTCTTGGCCCTCTGAGCTCCGGACTAGGCCGCTCAGCCGTGGGGGTGGCCTGTGGCCCAGTGTGTGTCGTCACCGGCGCCAGGGCCTCCGAGATGCGCGGCCCACCATGGCCGGCAGGGCCAGCTGCTGCCTGGGCGTCCCCCATCGCAGCACCTGGGTGGAGTGCCGGCCGCTGCGCTTCTCACCCAGCTCCCTGGGAGGCAGTCTGGGTCCCTGCACCCACAGAGCAGCAGGTGTGCAGTCCCTGGCCCAGGGCGCTGACGGCGCAGCCACCTCGGGAGAGGCCGGGCGGCTCCTCGGCCGGGCAAAGCCAACAGCCGCCACGCCGCACGCAGGCCCCCGAGGCGCGCAAGGACCTACCCGCCGGTGCGTGACCGGCGCGGGGCGTGGCCAGACATGCCAAGGACCCCAACGCCTGGAGACAGACGCACGCACGCAGGCACGCTGGGAGCAGCGCGCTCTGAGCTCGCGGTGGCGTGGAAAGACCACGGGACACCCAGGCCACGCCACGTGGGGCTACACCGACAGGACACGGGGACAGGAAGGGGTCGCGGGCTCGTCAGGGGCCGGGGCTGCTTTTTCTGGGGGAAGAAACGTTCAAAGCGGATCCCGACGCCCTGTGGGTGTGTTCAGAACCGACGAATTGTGCCCTTTACGCTGTATCTGCGCTTTTAACAATCGCTTATCGTGAAAGGCAGAGCTAGAGAGAGGTCTTCCATCCACAGGTTCCCAACCCAGATGCGCCAACGGCCAGCGCTGGGCCAGGCCGAGGGCAGCAGCCGGGAGCTCCACCCGGGTCTCCCCCGTGGGTGCAGGGGCCCCAGCACGTGGGCCTCACTGCTGCCCCCAGGGTGCGCAGGCGCAGCGGCTGCGTCAGCCCCGCAGCGGCCAGAGCTTGAACCCAGGCCCTCTGGGGGATGGAGGTGTTGGCCCCCTGCGCCCCAGAGCTGCCCCAACTCGCCCAGTCCTGACAACACTCAGGGTCCTACAGCCCACTCGCAGGCCGGGAACGGAGAACGTCGGCCTCTCGCCCAGCGGGGAGCCCACCGGCGGTGCAGTCCTGCGGAGGCGGCAGGCGCGTGGGGGCCTGAGTGAGAGCCTGGCGGGGCGGCACGGCACGGGTGGAGGGGACAGGGCGGGGAGCAGCTTCGAGGGGACACTGGGGCCGGGGGAGCCGGGTTCCAGACTCCAGAGAGGCGAGAGCCAGCTCGCATGTGGCAGGCCCAGCGTCTTGCGGTTGCGAGGATGCCCTTAGCCCAGGGCAGACAGCAAGGCGGAGTAGTGGTGGTGGTCGTGGTGGGGGAAGGGCGAAGTCGGGGCCCCGCCCACCTAGGTCACGCCCCGCCCCCGCAGGTACCTCCGGCGTGGCCGCGTCCTCCGGGCCCGGCAGCGGCCTCTCGCTGAAGCCCACGCACAGCTGCCGAAGCCGCTCCTGGCCCTCTGCGAGCCTCTGGTCCACTCCGAGCTTCATGGTCTCCACCTGCGGCCGAGCGCGGGGCAGTGAGGGGCAGGGGCTCCCGGGGGCGGCCCAGGGCCCCCACGCCCTGGGGGTGGGGCCAGAAAGCCTCCTTTTAAAATCCGACTTGTCTCCCTCTCCCTCTCCCCCTCTCTCCGACGCTGCATTTCAAATAAACATCTTTTAAAAACAGGGGAGGGCGAGGAGGCACGGTCCGGGGAGGCGGCCGGGCTGTGCCCTGATGCGGGGCCGCAGCTCCCCTGCAGGATGCCCCGGAGTCTGCAGGGGTGAAGTCAGACGTTGCTGTGGGTGCAGAAACTCCTGGGAACCCGTGCCCTCCGGGGGTCTTCGAACAAAGCCCAAGAAAACGCAAACGACGGAAAACAAACCCAGCCGGGGTCTCAGCTCGCTGGAGCTGTCCCAGCATCTCTGCGCACCCAGGCTCCGGGAGCTGCGGGCGCCGCCAGGGCCTGGACTCCCGCCGTCCAGCCTGGGGGGGCGCGGACAGCAGGGCCGTTCCTTAGGCTGCCTTGGCTGTGACACATCGTGGCCAAGTCACAGCTGCAGCCCTGGGAGCCCAGGTGGACGGAGTGGAGAGAGGGGAGTGAGCCGGGGAGACCTGAGTGGGGGGTGGGGACGGGGAGGGAGAGTGGGGACGGGGAGCGGGGAGGGGGAGTGAGAGCGCGGAGGGGAGAGTGGGGGGTGGGGATTGGGAAGTGGGGATGGGGGAGCAGGGAGGGGGTGTGGGGAGCAAGGGGCAGGGAGGGGGAGCGGGGAGGGGGAGTGGGAGCGCGGAGAGTGGGGGGCGGGGATTGGGAAGTGGGGAGTGGGGAGCAGGGGGCGGGAGTGGGGAGCAGGGAGCGGGGAGGAGGAGTGGGGATAGGGGAGTGGGGAGGGGGAGTGGGGGGCGGGGATTGGGAAGTGGGGAGTGGGGACGGGGGAGTGGGGAGGGGGAGCGGGGAGGGGGAGTGGGAGCGCAGAGCGTGGAGGGGAGAGTGGGGGGTGGGGATTGGGAAGTGGGGAGTGGGGGGTGGGGGTGAGGAGCCCAGACCAGGGCCTTTGGAGGGGAAGGCTCCCTGCAGTATTGAGGCTGCCACCTCGGGCCCCGCCCCTGCTCCCTGGCCCCACCCCCACCCAGGGCCCCGCCCTGCCTGCCTAGGTCCCTTCCACTGCAGCCCCGCCCCCGTCCACCCAGGCCCCTCCCACTGCAGCCCCGCCCCCGTCCACCCAGGCCCCTCCCACTGTAGCCACGCCCGCCCCGCTACACTGGCCCCGCCCCTGCCCGCCCAGCCCCGCCCGCCCGCTGCACCGGCCCCGCCCCCATCCGCCGAGGCCCCGCCCCGCCTCACCAGGCTGAGCGCCTGCGCCAGCTGCCCCAGCGCCTCCTGCGCCCTCTGCCTGGTGCCCCGCAGCTTGGCCACCGAGTGCTCGTACGCGCGCTGCCGCAGCCTCTCGGAGAGCGAGCCCAGGCGCACGAAGTAGCTCTGCTCCTGCCGCTGCTGCTGCACCGAGGCCATGTCGAAGCCCTCCAGGGACGTGGCGATGCGGGCTGCGGGGAAGGCGCAGTGGGACTCGCGGGAGCCCGCTCCGGTGCGGGCCCCAGTCTGCCCTGAACTGCACGGCGGGACCAGGGATTCGGAGTCTTGCGGGACTCGGTGGCCTTGGGTGGGCGTGAGGTCAGTCCTGCCCGCCTCCACGTGCACCACCACGCATGCTCCTCGCGGACGCCCCTCGGTGTGACCCCGGGGGCCACCAGATGCCCCAACCCCTTGTTAGAACTGACAGCAGGTGCTGACCCGCACGCATAGGGCGGCGCGGTGAGCAAGGCTGCAGGCGGGGGGTGAGTTCTGGAAACTGGAGGGCTGACTACCGCCCACGCTGCTTTCCAGCCCCAGGAGTGGGGCCGGTGCTGAGGCGCTCGGTTAAGCCTCCCCAGGCCCGGGAGCGGAGGGCGGTGCCCTGGGCCAGCCTGGGGGCGGTGGGCGGTGCCCTGGGCCAGCCTGGGGGGCGGTGGGCGGTGCCCTGGGCCAGGCGGGGGGGGGCAGTGGGCGGTGCCCTGGGCCAGGCGGGGGTGGGGGGGAGGCTGCCCGCGGGGAGGCTGCCCGCAGTGCCCAGGGCCGGCTGCTCAGCCAGCTCCATCCCCCGCCTGGGCCGCCGCTCCCAGGTGCTCAAGCCCCAGACCTCCCTTCTGGCGCCTGGGGCCCGGCAGGGGCCAGGTTCACGGTCGGGGAGGAGCCCCGGGAACCCCACTTTGAAAACTCAGAGGTCCCGAGCTGACGACCACCCCTAAACCATTGACAGCAGGGCGCCAGTGCCAGCCCCAGAGAACGGGAGACCCTCCCTGGGGCTCCTCCAAGCCTTTAAAGTCTCCCCAGCAACCCGGGCCGCGGCCTCTGCCCTCGTGGGACTTGAGACCCCCTCCCCAGTCTGGAGTGAATGGCAGGGAAGAGGGCGGGACTTTGAGCCACTTCCGCATTGGGTGGATGACGTCGTGGGGTGGAGCCCTCGGGAGAACCCTGGTGGTCTGTTAGGACAGGCACCTGCGTGGCCAAGGGAGGCCCTGGCCAGAGCCTGCACTCCAGGCCGCTGAGCGCACGTGGGCACGCACCGGGGCTCCGGCTGCTCAAGGACTCTCTCCCGCTTTTTCCTCTCCCTGCCCCGTCGGGTCGGCACCCACCCGGCTCTACCTGCCTCCCTGCTGACCCTCAGCACCCTGATGGACACTGGCTGTCCCACATGTCCCCGGGGCTGGCTGCCTCCCACCTCCTCCACAGCGAGGCAGGAGGCCCGCGTGCCGCAGCAGGGCCAGCCAGAGGCTGAGAGGACGGAGCAGGGCAGGCGAGGGCTGGGCGAGGACCTGAATCTGGCTGGGAGGCAGGTGGGCGCAGGTGCTCAAGGCGCCCTCTGCTGGTGAGGACGGGGTGGTGGAAGCAGGGCAGGGGCCACACTCACCCAGTTCGGCATCCGTCATGGGCAGGTGGTTGTCCACCCATGCCTCCGACTTGCCCAGCACCGTGTCCACCCCGCTCAACACCATCTGGCCCACGCGGGAGTCCATGACGGAGTGCACGCCGCTGGCCACCACGGACCTGGTCCTGTCCACGCCGCTCTGCACGGCGTCACGGGTGGCGTCCACCGCCTCTGTCACCCGCGTGGCCACGGAGTCCTTGGCGCTGGCCACGGTGTTGGATACCATCTCCCGGGCCCCCGACACCTTGGATGACACAAGATCCTTGGTGTCCGCCAGCACCTATGGGATGGAGTCGGTGTTTCCACCAGCCCTTCGAAAGCCTGCGCCCTCTGCACCCCGCCTCCAGGGGGCGCCAGGGAGGGAGTCCACCTCCCCGCGAGGCTGAGACCAGGCAGGCGGGGGTCACACCCCAGTCCTGGGCCCTGGCTTCCTGCTGCGTGGCCTGAGGCCAGTCCCTGTGTCCCTGTGCCTCTGCTCCGTGGCAGCAGGTGCTAGAGAGCCAAGTGTGGGGCCCTGGAGAATTAACACGTCGGGGGCTTGGTGGTTAGCACCCCGCGGCCCACATCAGAGAGCCTGGGAGCTGTGGCCCCGGAACTGACGCACCCCTGGGAGGCGGTAGCTGGGTCCCTGCCACCCACGGGGAGACCCAGATGGCGTTCTGGCCTGCTCTGGGCATCTGGGGAGTGGCATCAGACACGAGTGGTCTTGCTCTCTGCCGTGTGAATGAATGAATGAATGAATGAATTCCCAGGAGTGAATGGGGAGGAGACTGATCTCAGACATGGCGCACTTTGGGGGCTGATTCTGGAAGTTCATGCTAAAACATCGGACACGGGCCAGGTGCCGTCCCGAGCCCCCCGGGGAAGGCCCTCGGTGCCCCCGTCCAGCAGGGGGAAAAGTGGGGCTGAGCATCTCACCCTACTGCCTTTTTTTTTTTTTGACAGGCAGAGTGGACAGTGAGAGAGAGAGAGAGAAAGGTCTTCCTTCCATTGGTTCACCCCCCAAATGGCCACCACGGCCAGCGTGCTGCGCCGATCCGAAGCCAGGAGCCAGGTGCTTCTCCTGGTCTCCCATGGGGTGCAGGGCCCAAGCACCTGGACCATCCTCCACTGCACTCCCTGGCCATAGCAGAGAGCTGGCCTGGAAGAGGGGCAACCGGGACAGAATCCGGCACCCCGACCAGGACGAGAACCCGGGGTGCCGGCGCCGCTAGGTGGAGGATCAGCCTGCGCCACGGTGCCTGCTTCCGGTCCCGGCTGCCCCGCTTTCCTTCCCGCCTGGAAAAGCAGCGACGGAGACCCAAGGACCTGGGCCCCTGCCGCCCACTTGGGGAGACCTGGGTCACGTTCCCGGCTCCCAGCTCTGTCCTGGCCCAGCCCCAGCCGTCGAGGCCATTTGGGGAGTGAACCAGCGCATGGCAAATGTCTCTGTCCCTCTGCCTTCCAAAAAAAATCTTTAAGGGGGAAAAGAAACTAAGCAGATGAACCAAGTGGCTGTCGGGACCCGTGAGCACAGTAAAAAAAAACCCCACAGGTGGCAGAGACGTGGGTGCCGGCCCCAGCCCGGCTTCCCCGGGGGGAACGGAGGCACGGACGTGTTGGTGAGCAGGGCCGGCCGAAGCCCGGGCGGGCGCTCACGGCGGCACCTCGCAAACAGCTGGGATGGGGCACGACCCAAACGTCCACGGGCAGGTGGACAGAGGCGGCGCGCTCCGCTGCACGGCCGTGGAGATGAGAGTTGCGCATGCGCTGGGGTGGGGGGGAGCACGCAGCCCGCGGGGCCCGGGAGCGGGTGCTTCCTGCACACAGGGCTTCGGGGGCCACCACGGGTTCGGGCGGGGAGGGGAGGGGCCGTTTCAGCCAGCGCCCGCCCCCTCACCTTCTCCGTGGGCTGCTGCAGGATCGGCAAACTCCCCTCCAGCCTGTCCAGTCCCCGGTGGGCGTACTCGCTGGCCGACGCAACTGTGGAGAGGGAGCGAGACGGACAGGTGCCGTGGCCTCCCCGGGCGCCGGCGGAAGGGTCTGGGGGCGCCCCGTGGGCGGGGAGGCCACCTACTCTGCGGCTCCAGCCTGGCCAGGATGGGCTGGGCCCCGCTGGCGGCGGCCGCCGCGAGGGTCCTCACGCCCTTCTCGGCCGCGTCGCACACCGTCTTCACGCGCGGATGGCTCTCCTTGGTGGAGGCGTAGGCGCCGGTCACCATGTCGCAGGTGGAGCTGACGAGGGGCAGGCTGGCCACGCGGTCCACCACGCTGGGCTGGGGGGCGAGAAGCCACTCAGGGGGGCTCCAGCCCAGGCCCTGGGGTGGGACGTGGGCATCCTGCACCCCGCTATCTTGTTCCGGAACATTCTTGTCACCCCCCCAGCCCGGCCTCCCCGGCGCGCACTGGCGACAACAGCCAGGGCGGTTAGGGAGGGCTTCCTGGAAGAGGTGACCTCTGTGGGACGAGGGAGTGGGCCACGTGGCTCCTTCCCCACGGGAAGTATGGTCCAGGCCCGCGCTGCCCAACATCGACGGCCACATGCCCGCTTAGGGTAATGGAAATTACATTGGGTGCAGCAGGGTGCCCTTGGCGATGCCGGCGCCGCACCCTGGAGCACCCATTTGGGGCTCGGCTGCTCTGCCTCCGAGCCAGCCCCCTGCCGTCGCCCCTGGGGGCCAGCAATGACGGCCGAAGTGCTTGGGCCCCGGCCAGCCCCGTGAGAGACCCGGAGGGAGCGCCTGGCCCCGGCGCCAGCACCCGGGAGGGAACCAGCAGGTGCAGCTCTGACACGGTGCTGTCACTCAGCGGGCCGTGCCATAGAGCACCTGCGGGCCGGCCGAGCCGGGCTCTCAAGCCGCCTGTCAAACGGCCGCCGCCGGGAGCGGGAGCAGGGCGGAGGGGACCAGCTTTCCCTGAAGGAGGTCTCCAAGGACCCTCCAGAGGGGAGGTGCCGACCCTGGCAGGGGGAGGGCCCTGAGAGGCCGATTTCCCACCCCTGGGAATGGTGTAGTCCCCACTCAGAGGCGCCCCGGGGGCACTGTCAGGGAGCCGCAGAGACCACGTGTCAAAGCAGAGTTTGGATTCTGGCCCCAAGGGCAGCTCCCTGCTGGTGCACCCTGGGAGGCCCAGGCGCCTGGGTGCCAGCCCCCTAGGTGGGAGCCGGCGTGGAGTTCCCAGCCCCCTCCCACTGCTGGCATTCAGGTAGTGGGCGGGAGATACCTCTCCCTAAGAAATACAAATTTAAAGCTAGACACCTGGGCCCCCAGCTGTGCCAGCCAGGGCGGAAGCCTCCCTGGCCTGGGGCCGGAGGGGCGCTTCCTGCTCCCAGCCAGCCCTCACCTGTGGCACCGGTTCTTCAGCTGTCCCCTGCGCGCTGGCATCGGCTTCGGTCCCGTGGGCAGACATGGTCACTGTGGCAGGCCCTGGAGGAGACGGCACGGTAGAGCCGGCCCTGCCCCTCCCCCCAGGGGAAAGTCGGCTCCACGCTGGAACCGGGGGAGGGGGCGGGAGGCGCCCCATGACCGCGGGCTGGGCCTCTCTGTCCTCGGAGTCCACGCTGGAACCGGGGGCAGAGGGCGCCCCTGTCGGCGGGCAGGTGAGTCACAGGTGCAGGGCAGCAGGTGCGCCCCCACTTTCCCCGCCAGGGGAGAGGACGCAGGCACGGGGGTCACCCTGCCCGGCTGTGCGGCGCGGGCTTGCTTCCACGCCCAGAGAGCAGTGGACCCCAGCTTTGCACGCAGTAGGCGCACGGCGTCCGCTGACCTCCCGCGGAGAGCGCCGGGTGGGGGCGTGGAGGGGGCCCGCACCCACGTCCCGGGGCTCAGAGCTTGATCCGCGATGGGCAGCGGCCAGGTGGGCCGCTTCCTGCTCCCGCACCCTCCGCGCCCTTCCCCAAGTCCTCGGGCTCAATTCAGGGAACTGTAAGGGCCGCGCCCCAAGACACAGCGGAGTAACCCCAGGTCCCCCTTTCGCAACCCCGCGGCCACACCCCCCGGGGGGAAGCGCAGCCCGAGCCCCGCACCGCGGGGTCCCCGCCCCCAGCCCCGGCGGCCCAGCCGTGCGCGGAGCAGAGGGGCGGCCCCCGGGACCCCCGGAGTGGGAGCTGTCCCTGTGCGGGAGGCGCGGGGCGGGGCCGGGAAACTTGGAATTAAACTGCGTTTGCCAAAAAGCACGCATTCTGCAAACCGCGAGAGAAGCTGGGGCGGGGGCTCGCGGGCCCCCGCACAGGCGCAGGCGGGAGAGGGCTTCCGGCCCGGGCTTCTTACACAACTTGGAGACCCTTCCCCAGGCCGCGGGGCCCCGAACGCGCCCCACCCCGGAGGGTTCGCCCCGCCCCCTCCCGCCCTGGGCCGCCGGACCCCCGCCAGCACTTTGGGGGGCCCCCGCCTCTCACCACGGTCAGCGGGACGTCCGGTCAGCGAGGCCACCTCCCCACGCCAGCTCCGACTCCTGCCAGGGTGGGGCGGGGCGAGCCTTTATACAGCGAGAGGCGGGCACCCTGGGAGTGACGGGCCGGGGGCCCAATCACGTCGGGGGGCTGCCCCCTCCGGGCCCCGCCCCCCGCGCGCCGGCTCCGCGGGTTCAGCTGCGGGCCAGGGGCGCCCCCTGCCCGGGCGGGGCTCCTACGAGCTTAACCTGGGAGGTGCGTGCGATTCGGGGCGCGCTGCCCGGGACCTGGGGTCCCCAGACGGCCGCTGCTCCCGGGTCCACGCTGAGGCTGTGGGCGGCGGGGGTCGCACCCTGCACCTGTGCCCCCCGCAGAGGGGCCTGGGTCCCTGTCTGGGTCTCGAGCACCCCGCACCCCAGCAGTCCGCATAATCGGGCCCAGTGCCTGCCGCTGGGCCCCCCTGAAGCTCCGGGGCCCCCTTACCACGTCCGCGTCCCAGGCGAGGGCCGGGCAGCCGCTGGGCCCCGGGTCCGGCGTCCTGATCAGCCCCTTCCCGAAGCTCCCTGCGTGGGTTTTTATTCATGTGAGACACAGATATCCACCTGCTGGTGTGTTCTCTGCGTGCCTGGACAAAGAGGACCGGCCCGCGAAGCTGGGAGCTGGGCTGCACACGCGTGATGGCCCCGGGTGCGCGTGCGTGAGCGGGGAGCAGCCGGGACTCGAAGCCGGGACTCCAGCGGGGTCGCTGCCCCCCACTGCTGGACCTCAGGCCCTGGCTTCGGGTCCAGCTCCCTGCTGTGGCCTGGGAAGGCAGTGGCGATGGCGCAGGCCCTGGGCCCCTGCGCGGCGTGGGAGAGCGGGGACCTGGCGCGGCCCCTGACCGCGTGGGAGAGTGGGGGCCTGGGCGGCCCCTGCGCGGCTTGGGAGAGCGAGGCCTTGGCGTGACCCCTGACCACGTGGGAGAGTGGGGGCCTGGCGCGGCCCCTGACCGCGTGGGAGAGCGAGGGCCTGGCGCGGCCCCTGACCGCGTGGGAGAGCGGGAACCTGGGCGGCCGGGCGTGGGAGAGCGAGGGCCTGGCGCGGCCCCTGACCGCGTGGGAGAGCCGGGGCCTGGCGCGGCCCCTGACCGCGTGGGAGAGCGAGGGCCTGGCGCGGCCCCTGACCGCGTGGGAGAGCGGGAACCTGGGTGGCCGGGCGTGGGAGAGCGAGGCCTTGGCGCGACCCCTGACCACGTGGGAGAGTGGGGGCCTGGCGCGGCCCCTGACCGCGTGGGAGAGCGGGGACCTGGGCGGCCGGGCGTGGAAGAGCGGGGGCCTGGAGCGGCCCCTGGGCCCTGACCGCGTGGGAGAACGGGGGTCTGGGCGGCCCCTGACCGTGTGGGAGAGCGGGGACCTGGGCGGCCGGGCGTGGAAGAGCGGGGGCCTGGAGCGGCCCCTGGGCCCCTGACCGCGTGGGAGAGCGGGGGGTCTGGGCGGCCCCTGACCGTGTGGGAGAGCGGGGACCTGGGCGGCCGGGCGTGGAAGAGCGGGGGCCTGGAGCGGCCCCTGGGCCCCTGACCGCGTGGGAGAGCGGGGGTCTGGGCGGCCCCTGACCGCGTGGGAGAGCGGGGGTCTGGGCGGCCGGGCGTGGGAGAGCGGGGGGGGGGGGGGGGGACCTGGGCGGCCCCTGTTGTAACTTTCTTGTTGGTGACTGTTTACGAAGCCCCGCCTCCTGCCGCCGAGCCCCGCCCCCGACCCGGGGACGCCAGGACGAGCCGAGCAAGGAACCCGGCGCATGCGCAGTTTCACAGCAGAAATCCTCTTAAACAATTAAAATTTTTCAACAATTAAAATTTTTTTTTCATTTTATTTGAAGGTCGCGAGAAAGAGGCCGAGCTCGTCTGCCCACGGGCCGCCCCCAAACACCCGCGACAGCCGGAGCTGGGCCGGGCCGGGCCGGGAGCCGCCACGCGGGGACTCAGCCTCGCCGCCCAGGGCGCACACGGTCGGCCTGAGTGGGGCCGGAAGCGGGAGGGCGGGACCGGAAGCGGAGGGGCGGTACCGGAAAGAGGTGGGACCGGAAGCAGAAAAGCTGTGTGCAAACTATGGCGCTCAGATTGGGGGGCTCTGGCTGCCGAGGCGGGGATGAGCCGCGACCCCACGCGCCGGCCTCCGAGCCTCCGAGCCCCTGTGCTGCGTGGGGTGGATCCAGGGGATAAACATCGTGGGCGTCGTGCCGCTGGCCGCGCCCTGGGGAGATGGGCGGTAACAGGTGTCACGCGTGGACAGCGTCCACGCGCGGACGTGCACAGAGCTGAGTGCTGCCCAGGCCGCTCTGAGAGACAGGCCAGAGGAGCCCTTTCTTTATTTTAAGAGTTTATATGAGAAGTAGGGTCACAGGCAGAGAGAGAGGTCTTCCATCCGCTGGGTCACTCCCCAGATGGCCGCAGCGGCCAGAGCTGCGCCCATCCGGAGCCAGGAGCTCCATCCGGGTCTTCCACGCGGGTGCAGGGGCCCCAGCACCTGGGCCATCCTCCACTGCTTTCCCAGGCCACAGCAGGGAGCTGGACCGGAAGTGGAGCAGCCGGGACTCGAACCTGCGCCCCATGGGATGCTGGCGCCCCAGGCAGAGACTTCGCCCGCTACGCCACAGCGCGGCCCGGCAGAAGCTTTCTCAGTGGCCTTTGAACACAGAAATGTGGGAGGTAAGGCAGGAACCATGGCGAGATACGGGGAAGTAGGCTCCTGGGCCCGGGCCCGGCCTGTGCAAAGGCCCTGGGGGCAGGACCCAGGCCAGTGTGCTGGAGGGAGTTGCGGGCTTGGCTCAGAGTGCGGGGCTGGACCACACCCTCCCTCCCCTGCCCCACGGACCCCTCCTCTTGGCCCAGACTGGGAGCCGCGGGTGGAACACGAGGGTCTCAGGAGAGCAGCGGGTGTGTGTGCCCCGCATGGCACCTGCGGGAACCGTGCTGGCCTCTGAGCTCCGCGCCCGCCCTCAGCGCCCGCCCCCTACCTCCCCCTCCCCCGTCTTCCTCCTGGGGGGGCTCTCCACACCCCCAGTTCTGTTCCACCTGGGGTAAAAGGTGGGGGGCGCGTCGGCCACAAGGTGGCGCTGCCGGCCCCGGGCGGGTCCAGCTGCAGGTGACGGCTCTGGCCTCTGGCCAGCGACTGACGTCCAGTGAGGAACTAGTAAGCTCCTGCTGTGTACCGGCCCGTGCTGGGTGGGGAACGGAGGGAGCGGGGCCCGGGCGCTGGTCCTTGCGAGGAGGCATCCACGGCTGCATGCCGGGTCTAGCGGGAGGCGCCGGTCTGGCCTGGTCTGGCCTGGTCCCCCGGCCAGAGCTGGGCCGATCCGAAGCCAGGAGCCAGGAGCTCCATCCGGGCCTCCCACGCGGGTGCGGGGGCCCAAGCCCTTGGGCCGTCGTCCACTGCTTTCCCAGGCCACAGCGGGAGTTGGGTGGGAAGTGGAGCAGCCGGGACTCGAACCGGCGCCCCTGTGGGACGCCGGCCCTGCAGACGGCGGCTTTGCCCAGCACAACACGGCGCGGGCTCCTCCCCTGATCTTAAGAAGAATTAAAAGGAGACTACGTGGGGGCGGGCGTCTGGCCTAGTGGTGAAGACGCCCGTGTCCTGTATCGGAGGGCACTGCGGCCCCCGCTGCCCTCGGCGGCTGCCCCGGAGGGAGCTGGACTAGGACGCGGATATGGGATGGGGGTGGATGGGGGCGGCCCAGGCCCTAATCGGCGCGCCAGACGCCCGCCCCCGCAGCTGGCCGTCAGGCGGAACAGGGAGCCGAGGCCCGGAGCGGGCGGGGCGCTGGTCTCGGGAGCAGCTCAGTCCAGGCAGCTCCGAGCCCATGTGAAGGCCCTGGGGCGGCAGTGTGGCCGCGAGCGAGCCAGGGAGGGGTTGGGCAGGTCGTGCAGGGCCGTGTGAGGCACACGAGCGCTCGCACGCCGACCCCACGGGAGCGCGGAGGGCGCCATGGGCTCAGGAGGGCCCGGCGGACGCACACTGCTGCGATGGCCGTGATGGGGGCGGGGCTGGGGGCGTCGGTAGGGGCAGAGGCTCAGGCCTCCGGGAGGGGCGGGCCCTGGGGTGCGGGCTGGGCCCCGGGTGCGGGGGAGGCTGGCGCAGGCCCTGGCCGGGGTGCCGGCGGGCGTGGGGACCCCCAGAGGAGCAGGCTTGGTGGGGGCATCCGTGGGGTCCGTTTTGCACCCCCGACGAAGGTCCCAGAGCTAGGAAGTCAAAAGGCATCTGGGACACCCGCACCCCTGCGGGAGGCCTGGTGCCAGCCCGGCGCTCCCTGCGCATGCGCGCCCTGGGGTCCGGCCCGGGTGGAGCCGCTGGCCGCTGGCCGCTGGCCGGCGCGGGCCCTTGCCGGGACCCCGCAGGAGGAAGGCTCTGTCTCTCCGACCCTTCCTCTGTGGCTCTGCCTTTCAGACAAATCACAAACTCGATACATAAAATGTTTCCAATAGCGCAAGCCGCGCCGGATACGCGCGCGTGAGATCTAAGACGACTCCGGCCCGCGGGCGCTGTGTGCCACCGGCTTCGGCCACCGCCGGCCAGGCCGGGCCCCCCTCTCCCGGCTTTCTCTGCTGTTTGGACTCGCGGCGGGAAGCCGGGGGTCTTTTACATGCAGGCCGGCTCGGCCGCCCTCGTGGCGCCACCTGCCCGCTGCCCGCCCCCTGGCCTGGGGGAGGGGTGTCCCCCGCGGCCTCTCCCAGCGCGGGAGGGCACCCGGCTTCCTGGATGCAGTCAGCCGCCGCCGCCGGGCTGGCCAGGCCCGGGGTCTCCCCGCCCCCCACCCCGGGGTCCCTGCCAGACCCTGGCTGCCTCCTGGGCCGGCTGTGCGGGCCCCTGCGAGAAGGTGCCGGAAGGCCAGAGGCCCAGGGCTCAGCTGAGCAGGGAGCTAATCCCACCCGGGGCTGCAAGTTCAGAGCCATGGCCGCCCCCAGCCGCCCCCGCGAGCGCCCTGTCCGGGGCGGCCCGGCCGCGGTGCCAGCTGCCGGGGTGCGCCAGGCACGCCTTCGGCCAGAGAACAGCCCGTCCTTGGCTCCCCGCGCCGCCGCTTTGTTCTGGGTGGAGGTGGGGGCTGTTGT